CTGGTCGCAATTGTGACATCTGCAACCTGCAAATTCATAACTTAGCCGAAAATCTTTCATTTTTCAAACCCTTTCAAAACCAAAAGCCCTTTGGACGATTTTTCAAAGACAAGTACTTTTCCAAATCGATTGTAAGTCATTTCTAACTTGTTTTCTTCGATCTTTAACATCTTTTCTTATGATTTCAACTCAAATCAAAGGTTTTCATGGGGGAAATTGGGTGTTTTGGGTAGAACCTAGGTTTTTAAAATTTTGGAAATTTGGACCTCGATTTGAGGTCTGATTTCAAAACAAATTATATATTTGGGTTCATGGGGGAATGAGTAATCGGGTTTTGGTTTGAACCTTAGGTTTTGACCATGTAGGTCGGGGCGATTTTTGACTTTTTGGGAAAAACTTTAGATGACCTATTTTCATGCATTGGAATTGATCCATTTAGCATCTATTGATATAGTTAAGTAACTTGTGGCTAGATATGAGCGAATTGGTGGTGAAATCGAGAGGTAAAGCGGTAGTTGAGACTTGAATTGTATTCGTGGCATCGAGGTAAGTGTTTGGTCTAACCTTAGCTTGAGGAATTAGGTGTTTTGTCCTATTTGCTACATGTTAATTGTTGAGTACGACGTATAGGAATGGTGATGAGTATCTAGATGTTGGTGTCAAGCATGCCTGTAAGTCTTATACTATGATTAATGTGACTCCGTTTGTATTGTTCATAACTTATGTGATGATTTCTATTGTTGAACAAAGCTTGTAGAAGTAATATTGGTATTTGAATATTGAAGGGCATTGGCTCAAGTTGTAAAATGAATTGTGGAAGTATAATTGATGATTGAACCTTATAGAGCATTGGCTCAAATTGCGAAGTAAATGTGAAAAAAAGAAGAGAATTATTATATTGTCTCCCTTGCCGGGATATCGTTGCTTTTAATGCTATCTCCCTTGCCGGGATGTTGATGCTTTTGATATTGTTCCCTTGCTGGGATTCGATTGTTGTACCATTATTCCCTTGCCGGGATTTTATTGTGATTTTATTTATTTCCTTTCCCAAATTGCTTTGTGATTGTTGCTTGGGTGAGGAAGAGTGTTAAAGCACGAAGGGTGATGCCGTGCATTGTTTTGGTAAAAGAGTATTAAAGCACAAAGGGTGATGCCATGCCGCACGATGTACAATTCTGTGCCATTTATATTGATTTTATGGTGGGGACGAGAGTAAAAGCACGAAGGGTGATGCCGTTCACTTGTCCTTGGTTTTCCTGATTTTTACTGATAATTGAGTTATGTTGTCCTTTATGTTTATTTATTAATTTTCTGTTGTTACTTGATTTTATTTTGATGTTATTGATTCCCTGGCCCAAATTGCTTTGTGATTGCTGCTTGGGTGAGGAAGAGTGTAAAGCACGAAGGGTGATGCCGTGTACTATTTTTGATAGAGTGTGTTAAAGCACGAAGGGTGATGTCGTGCACTTGTCTTGATTTCCTAACTTTTATTGATAACTGAGTTATGGCTTCTCTACGTTTAATTGTTGGTTTTTTGTTGATACTTGTTGTACCCCGCAGCATGATCCCCCTATCCTATCTTCAATTGAACTGTGGTGATCCTTATATTTATTTGTTGTTCTTATATTATTATTCGATGTCCCCGCAACATGTTTTCCCCCTCCTATCCTTAACTATACATTTCTGCTTTTATTTTCCCTTTTATATGATTTAACTGCACAGGTTTATTTGGTAGTCTGGTCCTAGCCTCGTCACTACTTCGCCGAGGTTAGGCTAGGCACTTACCAGCACATGGGGTCGGTTGTGCTGATACTACACTCTGCACTGTGTGCAGATCCCAGTGCTGTAGCTTTTAGACCGCAGTGAGATTTGCTGCCTTCAATCCATTCGGAGATCTAAGGTAGTCCTACAGGCATCCGCAGGCCTTGGCGTCTCCATCTATCCTTTCATCCTGTTTCATTTATGTATTTCAGAAATAGTGTTGCATTTATTTCTCGGACCTTTTTGGTAGTATTCCTAGACCGTCTGTGAAGTTATGACACCAGTTCTTGGTAGTATTTGTTTAAGAAATTTTATTGAAAATATTTAAATGGTTTTATTTGTTTCTTCTGGTTGTTTAAATTCCGCTATTTATAAACTGTTGGTTCATAATTGTTAAACGATTAAAAATGGGAAAAACGTAAATAGTTCAAACGGTTGGCTTGCCTAGCTTTCACTAGTAGACGCCATCACGACTTCTGAGGGTGGAAAATCCGGGCCGTGATAATTCTGCACATGTTTTTCGTGTGCAGATCCAGGTACCTCCTACCAACCTCGCTTTTAGTTGCACAGTCGTTGCTACTCCGGAGGCTTCAAGGTGCATCTACCGCATCCGTAGACCTCGGAGTCCCCCTATCTCCTTGTATTGATTCTTCCTTTACTTCTTTTAGATACTGGTATGTAGAACAGTAGACAAATTCTTAGAAGCTTGTGACTTATGATGTTCCGGGTCTTGGGAGAATTTTGTGTATATTTTTAGAGTTGGTTATTGTACATGTCGAGCGGCATTTCTATCAGTATTTAATTATCTGTTGTAGTTAGCTATTAATTTTATACTTTCATTTTTATTATTCCGCAAATGTTAGGCTTACCTAGTCGTAGAGACTAGGTGCCGTCAGGACATCTTACGAAGGGATATTTGGGTCGTGACATTATGTCTACATTGTAGATCCACAACAATGTATTTTCCATTTTCCTCTTCACAATAACAAACGTTTATCATCTTAGACCTATTGTACATGTACGGAAATTATTTTTTGGAAAAATATTATTTCCACAAACACATATAAAAAAGATTTTTTTCCGATAGCAGTATCAGATATTCAGATGATACCCCTTACCAAATCGTCTTTGCCTCAAACATACGTTTCTATAAATAAAATAGAATTTGTTATCTAATAATCTCATAATGCAGATTGTCTACGACGAGTTTCAAGAGCAATTGATTGGGATATTCCTCTTTGATTCTTCTCTTGGTTAAGTTGATAATATACTGAATTTTCATATTTTCAATCCCACCTGTTGATCATATTATATGAATTATTACATAATCATATAATGTAAGGTAATTTTTGAAGCAAAAAAGAACAATTTTGAATGCTTACAAACCTGAACTCTTCTTTGTCTGGAATTTAGAGCTCCAAATGTTCTTCAAATGGCTTGAAAATCAAGTTAGAGTTGCTCATCTTTCACCTTCTCAAGAGTTGGAGAGTACCACTGAGAACAAATCAAGTAGCAACATAATTAGTTAGTTTAATTAGGTTCTTCTGTAATAGTTTAAATAAAAGATTGGACTAAATCCATTCTAATGCACTTCTAGAGTAAATAATCCATAGAACCATAGTTAGCATAATCTGTCACTTCTTTCTCATTTTACCTGGAGCCGTGGGCCTATTAGAAATAACATCTCTACCTTCTCAAGGTACAGGTAAGGTCTACCTGCACACAACCTCCCCCTACCTCAAACCCCACTTATGAGATTGCATCGGGTTTGTTTGTTGTTCTTTCTTATTTTCGTAAATCTTTGCACGACTCAATACTTCCTCCAGTCACGCAAATTAGTTGTTTTGACATATTAATTTTGTTCCAAAATATGTGACGTTTTAGAATAATTAGAAGTATTTGTTACTTTTCTTCTTCGAATTCCCATTACTGTTCAAATTAGTGGAGTGCTAATTAAGTGAAACATTTAAGAGAAACAACGGTCTAGTTCTATACTCTTATAATTAAGGCTATTAGATATCTTTCTTAATTGTACGCGATAATCTTATGATACAGATAATATGGACCGGATGTAGCATAATATATTTAAATTAGGTTGCCGATAATAACAAACATGAATGTGTGATGTAAACAGGGAACGCGATACACAAAATATTCCGCATTCATATGGGGTTCGGAGAAGGGCCACCCCCATATGGGTGTGATGTAGACAACTACCCTAAAGCAAGCATCAGTGGCTGCTTCAACGACTCTAACTCATGATCTACATGTCATACAAAAATAACTTTAGTGTTGCTCTAAGGTTCTCCTAAAGAGGAAGAGAAACATACCTTTGGAGAATTATCCTTGTTAATTGTGATAGCCCGTATGCCCTTATAAATGGAACAATAACTCAACTAATTAGATTCAAAAGGGGGATATTATTACAATTCAAATTTCTTAATACAAATAATTGAGAAATATGTACATATTTAATTACTTCATAGATATCGCTAGATATGATTGTTCTCAATATGTTTATTGAAAGTCTAAATTCTTGCTTGAGGCATTCAGACAACGTTAGTTTTCTTCCTTCTCGAATCTGAAATATTTGAGATTATACATAATTAGGTTACTTATAAGATATTACATATAAATTTTTGGAATGAATGTGGTAACCTACACTAATATAGTGCAAAATATTTATATTGTCAATGCATATAATTAAATCCTTTGGTCTTTAAAATGTATAGAAGTCAAAGCAAGTTTATTTTGGTAAAAGGTAAAGAATTACCGATCTTTTTAAGCTTCCAAGCACTGCTACAATCCAATCATTTCCTACCTTCCTGAACATGAGATAAGCATTAAATAATAAGAATTGTGGTAGAATGGTGAGTACTCCTTTTTCTTTAATCAGATGTCTCGGGTTTGAGCCTTATGTATGAAGTCGCTTTTGTTAGAGAGCGCTTTACCCCTCAATATGAGACTTTCCCGCACGAATCCGAATTTAATCGGATCCCAATGCGGGTATCGGACACCAGATAGAAAATAAAAATAATTACTAAATTTTTTTATCATCATAACGTGCAGTAAGACTGAAGAATTATCTTACAAGTGATTTCATAATGTCCTCCCAGGAATCCTTGGAAAAGCACTCATTGATTATGGAAAGCCTAAATATATATAATGCATATATAACTCAGTTCATATCAAAAGATTATATAAATAAAGATTGCATTACATTAATATAAATGTATTACTTGTTCAAGATACTTCTTTCATCTATCTCAATTTTTGTTGAGAATTCTTGAATGGCTGATCTGATAGCCTTCTCTTCTCCAGTTGTTAAGCTCAACAAGCTCTTCTCCAAGCAAACCAATTTCTAACATTCATAGAAACACAAAATACTTAAAGATGACTATGAAATTAAATTAATATAGATTTTATGTTCTTTGTACTGGCAATCAGGTTAAGTTGACCTACATAACGCATGTAATTTTTCATATCAAGCCTAATATGCATGATAACCAAAATAACGGCAGTCCGGTGCACAAAGTATCCTGTGTTTATATATGCTGGGTCCGTGGAAGGGCAACACCCCAAGGGAGAGTGATGTAGGCAGCCTACCCTGATGCAAGTATCAGTGACTGTTTCAATGGCTCGAACTCGTGAGACAACCTTACCGTTGCTCCAAGACTTCCCTTATGCTATGAATTACACTGATAGTGTAAATTCTTTACACTCTTTGTGCATATACTCAAAGAAGGAACAAAAAGTATACACTACAAAGTCAAGGCTAACATACATCTCTATTTTGGTTATCAGTTGAAACAAGAAAAGAAAAAGGTCAGAGAAAAATGAAGCTTGAACTGACATCAGAAGGAACAAAATGAGTGGCAAGTCCAGCAGAAACAATTTCTTTACCCTTCAGCTTTGCCCCTGTTAAGCCCAAGTATTCTCCTACATATACACATTATCACTTGAATATATCAACAATCCCTCCTTAATTCATCATAGAAGAAACACAAAATAGTCAAAAATACTCTCCTACGATACAAATATCTTAATTTTATCGTCCGTTATATTTTAGGTTCATTCATATCTTTGTTATTAGCAAATTCTCATTTTTGCCTCATACCTTAACAATGTTTGAAAGTAGATAGGCAAATTTGGACCATTTTTCCAGAGTTTTTTGACACGTGAAATCGATCTATCTAGTCCATGTTGGTCATCTATTAAGGTCAAGGAAAAATACAAGAGGATTTGCTAAATTTAAGTGATTGAGTACCCCTTAAGGGATCATTTGGTTGGATGCATTAGAGAAAATAATGCATGTATTAACTTTGGTATTACTAATCCCTTATTTGGTACATGTTTCAACCTATATGTTACTAATACAAGTATTAGTTATACAACCTATTTGGTATTATCCTATGCTTAACTAATACATAGCAAACTATGATATTAGCAATACCAAAACTATTAATACATGTATTAGCATGGTTAAGGATAAAATTATCCTTAAAGTCTCTTAAAACAAAAGAATATGAAGAGCATTTTTGTAAACAATTAATTATCTTAAAAATTATGCAATGTATTTTAATTTTTAATACACCACACCAAATAGTGATTAAGAAATAATCTCTGCATTGTACTGTTGTATTACTAACCCATACATTATTAATCTGTACATTACTAATATACATTATTCAATACTATTCTTATACACTGTACTAAACGACCCCTAAGTATAATAGAGGATAAATGTCACGTCCCAAACTACTCCCTAGACGTGAGTGGCACCCGGCTAACACCACCTGCCGGGCGAACCATACTTTCTTACCTTAGCCATTTATTTGCAACATTTGATTAATTAAATGAGTATCCAAATAATCTAATAACTATTATGAACAATTAATATCTCAAAATATTAGATTAAAACTCTAACCCAAATCTCACACTAGACCATGGAGCATCTAAGAGAATTACAAAAGACCTCATATGAATAAATGATAAAGACTCTTTGGACAGACTCCACGAACAATGCGGCGGCTCACCTCAATAACTTAATCAACTCTAGCGAACTCGTCGGCTACTATCACCTTCTTCACCAATAGTATATGCATGGACATGCAGGTAAGGAGTGAGTTATACGTAAATATAACCCAGTAAGATCATCGACCCGCAACTCTGATTACCTCTGGAACAAGTGTTAGAAAAACAAACACACAACGAGCACACAAATAATATGTACAAAATTTAAACACTATATAAGGTCCAAACAATTATTCAACAACAATACTATATATACCTCAACACAATCTACACTAAGGACTTGTCATTAATGACAGTGTAGAAAATTAACCAAACACCCCCAACGAGTCCACGACAGCATACACAATGCCCCAAATCTATCACGGCAGCATATGCAATGCCCCAAATATATAGCGGCGGCATACACAATGCCCCAAAATCTATCACGGCGGCATACACAATGCCCCAAATATATAGCGGCGGCATACACAATGCCCCAAAATCTATCACGGCGGCATACACAATGCCCCAAATATATAGCGGCGGCATACACAATGCCCCAAAATCTATCACGGCGGCATACACAATGCCCCAAATATATAGCGGCGGCATACACAATGCCCCAAAATCTATCACGGCGGCATACACAATGCCCCAAATATATAGCGGCGGCATATACAACGCCCCAAATCTATCATAGCGGCATACACAATGCCCCAAATATATAGCGGCAGTATACACAATGCCCCAAATATATTACGGCAACGAAGAAATAATTTCTAATGCTCCAACGCCATAGCACAAGGCTACGCCACATCACACTACACTACAAATCACTTATTAAATAATTTTAGCTATTAAAAAAATAATATATATATTTGCGGCTAGTCAAAGACCGCCGATTTTGCCAAGTGAACGCTCGTTCCAACACATGGACCAGGCAAAAATAAAACATACTTTCAAACGGATTTAGAAAAGCAAGTACCCAAAGCTTAAAGTCTCACTTACCTCACAAATGACAAGTTTCCCAACCTTGCGACTTCTAGAACACCAACCAAACAGCCTCTAATTGACTCAATCTATCCAAAATATTAATTAACAATATCAACTATGCTAAGCAGGTTAATTTCTTATATTAGAGTACAATTTGATAATCGGCATGTGGCATGTTAACTACTCGACTAATCTTTTAGTTACATGGATATTCAAAAGCACATTAAAGCTCATTCAAACTAAATTTATTCCTAAGTAGAATATGATAGTGTCGGTTTCATAGATACATGTGAATCTTTACCTGAAGAATGAATATATCTCATGAATATATATAAATACAATTAGTCCAATATTGTATGAAGTTTTCTGGAACAGATTCCTATGCCAAGTATTCTGACTCCATAATACCAATCTTAAAGAGCTTTGTTATTATTAACTAATACTAAGGTTCTATTATAAGATTCTATGTATTTTTCCAAGGTTTTCTAAGTATATATCTGCCATGATCAGTATGTATCCAAAGTAATTCTTGTCAACATTACAAATAGCTTTAATTACCCCTAATATTATCCTAGGAACTAGGAATGTGAAGTTAATCTTATACCTGGATAGCAAATTTGAGTTGCAAAAGCACACTCAGTCTCCTAATTCCCGATTTCGACAATGCACTCCACCAAAGAGACAAATTATAGCCTTTCTTGCCAAAACATGAGCGCCACCGATTAATCTCTTATGTATATGCATTAGATAATGGCCTTACCCTCTAACTTAAGTCATTGCACGTAAGCCAGCACAGAAATAATGTGGGCCTAGCCCATTTTTTTTATCAGTATTTATTATTCTAATTATTTATTACCCAACTAATATGTGTAATATAGGCTCACTAATTATTTAATTAATCTCAATCTCACAAATAATAAGTATATCAAAATATTTTGGATTGTTACATTCTCCCTACTTAAAGAACATTCGTCCTCGAATATTAAGCAAGCAATACTCTAGAAAAGAGAGGTATGAATACCTCATCGTTAAGCTCATCTTATATTTGCATATTTACCCTACATATGCCTTTTGTAACTCATTTGGAAACTTATTAGCAACTACCACTATCCCAAGGGTCAGAATCTTTACCCTATTGTCTTAAATCATAATTAGATATGTTGAACACCTTTGTATTCATCACTTATAAAACTTTCGTATTAGGAAATTCCTCACCTATGGCAATCGCTAAGATCATAAGGAACATCAAATCTAATATCTTTTACCCGACAATTGTGCATCGCATAGTACGATACCGATCAATCCGTGCACATAATAACATTAAAGACAGACCTCGGCAACACTGGTAGATCTACTATAGTGTTCCATCCATGAACAAATATCACACATTCTCCGTATACTCTATCCACAAATATAGTCTTCTTACTAGGATCGTCACCACGTATGGCACATTAGGAGTACTAAATATGACAAAACCAGTCAATTCAGGCCCAAGTTCACTTAAATATCAATAGTTCAAACCATAATGAATTCGCAATCATCCCTCTGTCCTAACTGTGTGTGACGACCCAACCCGTCGTCTCCTGTAATTCCGTCCCATATTCCCCATTATATTCTTATTCATTCTTCAATATGTGTACTTGATGAATTTGAGTCAATTCGGATCGAGTTTGGTAGAAATTGGGACAAATAGTCTCTTTAATGAAGAATTAGTTTGGAAAAGTCAATCGGAAGTTGACTTGTGAGTTAGAGGTCTCGGAATTGATTTCCGATGATTCAGTTAGTTTCGGGGGATGATTTAAGGATTGGTAGCGCGATCGAAAGTGATTCGGATATCCGGAGGTCATTCTGAAGTCATTTGGCTAAGTATAGAAATTTGAAGGTTTTTGAGAAAAATTCGACCGGAAGTGGAAATTTTGATATCGGAGTCGGAATGCGAATCCGAAATATGGGGCAAGTCCGTAATGTCGAATGTGACTTGTGTGCAAAAGTTGAAGTCATTCCAGAATGATTTTGGTAAGGTTTGGGACACTTAGTCTCTTTTAAGGAAGCTTAAGTTGGAAAAGTCAACCGAATATTGACTTATGTGTTAGAGAGCTCGAAATGCGAATTTTATAATTCGGATAGCTTCATTAGGTGATTTGGGACTTAGGAGTGTGTCCGGAATATTTTTATGATGACCGGTGTAGAATTAAGCTTGAATTGGCAAAGTTAGTATTTTGGCGAATTCCGGTTGATAGGTGAGATTTTGATCCGAGGGTCGGAATGGAATTCCGAGAGTTGTTGTAGCTTAGTTATGTCATTTTGGACTTGTCTGCAAAATTTGAGGTCATTCGGACTAGTTTTGACGTTTTCCGCATCGGATGTGAAAGTTAGAAGTTTCAAAGTTCATAGGCTTGAATCCGATGATGATTTGATGTTTTGATGTTATTTTGGATGTTCCGAAGGTTGGAACAAGTTTGAATGACATTGTGGGAAATGTTGATATAATTGGTTAAGGTCCCGGGGGCCTCGGGTGGATTTCGTAAGGTTAACAGAATGAAATTCGGACCAAAACGAAAAAAAAAAAAGAAAAGTGGTTGCAGAAGCTGTCTCTGCACAACAAAAATGCAATCGTGTAGCATACTTCGGAGGCCTATATCTTTTGATATATAAGGAATTTTGAGATTGCTCAAAAAACAAAAGTTGTATCCCTTCATGTCTAGTTTCCAGAAAGCTAAAGAAATCATAATTTGGACATCTGTAGAGAATGTTATGGTCGATTGAATATGACTGGTGGAGCTCGTTCTCCAGAATTTTCTGATTTCGGGGAGCCTAATTTAGAAGCTCATATCTAGGTATATATAAAGAGTTATATGGTGTACAACCTATCAAATTAAAGATCTTCGAGTCTAGTTTCTAAATCTTCAAACCGTTGGTCATTTGGATATTTA